GGCTATCTCCCTTCTCCCGCGAACGGTGCTTAGTCGCGTGGTTTTTACGAATCTCTCTGCTCCTCCAGCTTCGTGGGCGACGTTTTCCGCGACGGTGGTTACCAGGTGCAGTTTGCCGCTTTGCATTGCTGCCGCGGGGACAAGGTCCACATACACCTCTCGCCACTACCACCGTCTGTGCATCCTCACCGCCACGCTGAGCCAGCGCGGCGGTGAGTTGCACCTTGNTCCATCTCCCGAAGGCGACGTGCCGGCAGCCGAGTTCGATAGATCCGAAGGTGACGTAGAAAGCAGTATAATGACATGGCAGTAATGACCGGCGTATATGACATGCCGACAGCAGTAGTCGTGAAGGAGTGACGCATTTTGCTGTGGCGCCGGCCGCATGTGGTGTCAGCTTGCGAAAAGCACGACGTCGTCGCTTGCTGTCGGTTGCTATGTAGTAGGGTACATGATACGTGATCCTCTGTTTGTTTCATTTTCTTCTTTGTACAAGCGACAAGGTAGGCTTCATCGGCCCTCTCGTTTACCTTCAAAGAGTGGATCGTCCCCCTCTTTCCGGTTGATTTTGTCATGTACAGCGGGGATGTCGCGGCTAAGGGAGGAGCTTTTGAAGATGACGTTCCCCTGCCTTGAAGACGAAGCGGGGCAGGCCTTTGGCGAGGCGACATGGGAGAACGCCGTGGACATGTTCATCGCGTGTGTCGGCCACGGATAGCACCTGAAACGCCGAAACAAAGTAAAGGTAGGCTTGAAAAGTGTGACAACTGCTGCGACCTTTGGCTTTGCGTGCGCCCTGGCCACGCGAGCACGCGCGGCCTGTCCCGTCCTTCAGTGAACAGTGGCACGCTGAAGGTCCATGTACCCGCCACGGGCACGCACCGTGCTGTCTATCATCGCATGTCTGCATGTCCCCCACTCCTGACATCGGAAATTCCGTCTCTACAATTCGTTCTCTCTGTCTTCCGCTGTCTTCCGAGCTTTATTCTGAAAATGCGAACCCAAATCGGCTCCAGAAAAACAGGTGGAGGACCGTCCACATCATCTGTGAACAAGGCGGGAAGCCAGACAAACGGGGTCTGACGGGCCCAGCCGACGCTCCCGTGAAGAAAACGAACAAGAACACTTCAACGAAGAAGGTTTTGTTATGAAGATTCGAAGTGATTCGTGTTGAGCGCCCCACAGCAGCTAAACGGACTCCCGTCCAAAATCGCCGTGCGCTCTGTAGAGAAGTGGATTGGAGAGGTACGCAGCGTAGTCGCCTCTGTGCTTTTCCTTGGTCTGGTCGCCGATGGACGACAAAACATCGTCTGCGCTGCACCAATATACGCATGCATAGCATTGTGGCACTTGCACTGTGGCACTTGCGTCTGATGAAAACCTGATCTTCTGCTGTAGTTGTATGCCTAAATTGCTCCTTCTGCCCGGAGCAGCGTATGCACGTAGCACGTACCTCTGCGTGCGTGTCGATGTATGCAGTGGTAAAAGTGTTTTTGTTGATGGTGGTGAAGGAACAGGTGCGCTCGCCAAGTATTTCGTACAGGAAGAAACCTGTCCAGGATGTTCGAAACGGCAGTCTTATGCGCCATCCATTGTAAGATGTTGTTCGTTCCTTGTACCAGCTTCACGGCAGACACCCGTCCTCGCTGTCGTCTTCCTGATATATCGCGCTCCCAAAAGACGTGTATGGTTTTCATGCCGAAGCTTGTTGAGTAGAAGATGTGCTCGTTAGCGTTGTTTGAAAGACACCGATGCTGCCCGTGTCCTGACAGATTCCGAACCCCTCCCCAACTCCGTGACTGCGAATTTTGCCCGCCGTGTGTTGTGCGGAGTCTAGATTAATTGCGGCTTTATTGGAGCGTTCAACTGGGCAGGAAACGCTGCCGGTCCTATCCTTTCAACGGTGAGTCTACTTCCGTATAGAGTTGGCGTATCGGTGACCGCTATCCGCAGCCATCGCCCACTGGTTGCATGCGTGCTGTCGCTCGCGGTGGTGTCGCTCGTGGTGAAAGTGCAGCAGCGCATGTTGCTGCAACCCATTTTTTTTACTCGATGTCCCTAATCATTATGTCACCCTTGTTCGGTCGCCCCTCCGTTCCCCCTGCTTTGCCGAACATGGATCTGTCGCGTGTTCAATCCGAACGGCTCAGACCTCGTTGTGTCTGCACCACAAAGTAGGCTCAGAGGATGGCAGCGTGGAGCACGAGCGCCCACGAGAGATGGCCAATGAGATGACACACGAGATGGTCCAAGAGCAAGAGGAATTGATTCGCCTGATGTACTTTCAACACAACGACACGAGGGCTATTCACAAGACCGTTGAGCGCGATGGGATGGTTCTGGGACCGAGAGGGAAGCAGCAGGTAAGTGGGTGAGGATAGACCCCGGACGTAACACGTGCTCAGCGCTGTAGTTTTGCGGCTTGGCGTGGAGGTATTACGTTCGGATCCCACCGGCATCCCGTGGAAGGAGTCCTCGTTTGGTCGCCCTTGAGTTGCGCGCACGTGTGATATCAGCACAAGTAGGGGTCGCTTGGTCATGAACTTTACGATAATGTCACCGTACTACCTCGGCCCGGCACTGCGTGTATTCTCGCCGTAGATAAGAACCATGATAACGCGATTTGGCCAAGACCGAGACAGAGCCCTTGGAGGGGCGACCATATGTAATGGCATGAACGTCCATGCCAAGTTTTTGACATTGAGGGGACAAAACTACCCCATCCCTTGTACCAAAACGCCATAATTTGTGCTTTAAAACCACCAAACAATTGGCCAGTTTTGGCGGCACCACAGCAACAGCCACAAGCACGTGCTGAGGCCGACAGACGCGGAAAGGGAGGGCCAGCTCTTTAGGGAAGACTGTCTCTACTACCAAAGCCAAAGAGGAAGCGCCAATCGGCCGTCTGGGAACAAGAAAATCATGCTGTATCTCCGGTATCTTTGGTCTCTTCTTGGTCTCCACCCACACATGTCCTGCCTTACAGCGCAGCACAGCACAGCTTTGCCTTCCTCTCCGAAGACCAGCAGGTGTGTTGTGGTGATGGTGGAGTATGGGTGGTACGTGAGATTGCTGGTACTGCTGTAGTAATCGTCGTCGATTGTAGCTTTGTGGAATGTTGTTGTGCTGCTTGCGCGCCTGCGCGCCTTGGTACCGCGGCTCTAAAATACATGACGAAAACATGCTTCCATGTACTGTTCTGTATATGACACAAGATAACACCCCCTGGACCAATTTTCAAAGCTCGATTACTCCACGACGAAGAGGATGCATAAACGAAACGATACGTTTTTGGAGAGGTCTCGACGAGACGGTTCCAACGCCACCGTTTTCGGCACCGTGACTCTTTCTGTTGTTGAGAAACCGAGATTTGAAAATCGGTCCAGGGGGTATGTTATCTTGTGTCATATTCGGTAGTCTACTGCTGCACGAAAGCAGTGGCTGCTGCTGGAAAGCAGTAATTTGTTGGCTATCACAGCTGGTGCTTTTAGTTTTTGGTTATTGCACTGTAGCACTACTGCAGCTATTGCACTGCTGTAGCACTGCTGCAGCTAAGAACGATGTGCACCCTACAGTTGGCGCCCGCAGTTAAGAAACGCTTATTTCAGGTCCAGCCTCGAATTCTTATTGTCGGCTATAAACTCAGCGTATGTCGTTCAGTTTCTTATTTCAAGTTTCTTATTTTTTCGTGCAGCCAATTCCTGCTGAACTTCTTAAATCGGCAATTTCTTATTATTTCTCTGCTTGCATACTACACAACGTTCCAAATATACAAATGATTTGCACTGCTTTCCTCGACCCCCGTACTCAACCCCGATTCTCACTACTGACAGCTGCACGTAAGGCCACTCCCTAGAAGCGAAATATATCCAGCGCCAACGTCTCGCTATCGCTACAAAGTCCTGTATTCCCCTCATGAGTGAGGGCTGAAACTAAACAAATGCATCAACACCGCATGATGCCTCACCCGCACGCTGACGTGCCCAACAACGAAAACTACCCCGTCATATTGATGCAAGCTCCGTGAGGCGAACATTGGGGGTTGTCACCCTTTTGCGCCCCCCGCTCCCTTCCTATCTTTTTGAGACATTTCTTATTTTGTGACCCAGATTAAGCTATGTTTCTTAACCCTTTTATCTTATTTTTCGTGAAAAAGTGAGCCTCAATTTCTTAACAAAATATTTCTTAACTGCGGGCGCCAACTGTACTTGAATAGTACCAAGGTAGGAAATAGTAGACTAACGATCAAAGAGTGCACGCGCACATTACCGCTGATATGCAAAGGCGATTGCCCCAAAAATAAACATGCATATCAAGTTTGTATACAATATCGAGAGATCTGATCACATCTGCATCAATGCGCCTACACGCATTCTAACGTCGTGTGTTCTGTTGCCAGTATAGTCTTCTCAGAGCAAACCGAAGACTTGCTGAGCCGGCTTGGCCGAAGGTGCTCAAGCGATACGTTGACGTCTATCAAGGCCTTCGTCTCAACGTATTGTACGTTTCGGCGAGAGTGTTCCGTACTCCCCGTGGAGAGATGCTGGCATGTTGTCGTCCAACCTTCTGCCAATGGAGGAACAGGTGGACCGTCAGTTGGCCTGGCGCACGATATATATAGACTATGTTTTGCCAACTTTTTGTTCAATATGGTCCTTTCTTTGGAGGTCGTTGGTCTCTACGGAAATGATATATAAGGGTGTAAACAGTACACTAGTAGTTGTTGGCCAGGGTGGCAAAGTATGGCCAGAAGGTGCGCGCGATCTATGACGCCACTCATATGTCTCTGCATAAAATCGCGAAAGAGCAGGGAAAGCGTGTCGGGTCGCGTGCGTTTGCTCGGCCCGCTTGATGCTCTGGCCCCACCTGTCTAATGGCCTGATCCAATGCTTGCTTGCTCTATCTACACCTGTATTAACCCCCTTTAGGACAAGTAGGTTTTGGGTCGCCACGCCGCCATGGTTATCCCGAACAAGATGCGCAAGGAGTGATCGGTAGTCTTGTGGGTAGACGGTGGTGCAATAGCGTGCTTTGGCGAAGTGCTTGGGGGTTGGATATATACTGGTCGCAACTGCAGCTCGTGGTCCTTGCGGGGGCAGCAGCGAACACCGAGGAGCTCGTATCAGAAGGGCGTATACTGTCCTACTTCTCGAAGCACTTCCCAGAAGTCATCCACGCGGGGTTGGGTGACGCTTTCACGACCAACCGCGTGGGCGTTGCACGCACGGTCGCCCAGACGTCGAGAATGTAACGTGCTTCCGTCCCACATACCGTATATCCCTGGACCCATTTTCAAAGCTCGATTACTCCACGACGAAGAGGATGCATGAACGAAATGATACATTTTCGAAAAGCTCTCGACGAGACGGTTTCAACGCCGCCATTTTCGGCGCTGTGACTGTTCCTGCAGTTGAGAAATCGAGCTTCGAAAATCGGTCAAGGGGGTGTGTTATCTTGTGTCATATACGGTATTGTAAGCCTCGCTGGTGGGGTGGTGACCTGGAGATGCTGCTGGCGTCCCAAGCTCTACACACAACGGCGAAGGTGGTGAGCCCGACAAGCACCACCTGCTTGCACGCATGCTTCCGACATATTCAAGACCAAGCTTGGGGGAAACTGCTCGTCGTAATCGGTGATTCTCCCTGCTTCGCGACGTTGCGTGCAGGTCTCAGACGGCTTGAGCGGCGACACTGGCGAGGACAGAGATCCCGCCGATCATTCTTGAAGCGGAAAGAGAAGAACCGTGGAAATGGAAGAAGTACAAGAACGCAGCGCGAAACTTGAAGGTGGTGGGTGGCGACGGTTCTGCCAGACGCTTGTATCTCGTCATTTTCACTTTACGAACGCAGTTCTGCGGTAGAAGAGGCATGATGTGGTTACTTCACATCAAGAAGGGCACTGTCAAACGCTTCTGTCCCTTCACTTTCACTCTAGGTGCTCGAACGCCAGTTGTTCGGTATCATGGGTGTTCGAACGCCACTTGTTCGGTAGACAGAGGCAGGTGGTGGTCACTTCATATCAAGGGCGGTAGTGTCAAATGCTCGTGTCCCTTCATTTTCACTCTGGGTGCTCGAACGCCAGTTGTTCGGTAGACAGGGGCAGGATGTGGTCACTTCATATCAAGAGCGATGCTACCAAACGCTTGTGTTCCTTCAGGTGTATCAAGGGTTTGGCTTCATGGACGTCAGCGGAGAGACAGAGGAGGCCTATGGCTCGACGGGCTGGGCAGAGGAAGGTGGAGAAGAATCATTGCCCGACCCGTGCCACAGCGAAGGTTGGTGCAGGCACTATGGGACATCGTTGGGCGCTGCTGATAACGTAGTCGTGCAGTAGTAGGAACACGGCGGCCGCGAGAGTAACTACCCATCGTGACGTAGCGTTTTGACATTGCGCAGTGTTGTCACAACGGCATCAGGCACAATACAAGAGTGGGTGGACGGGTAGGCACGGATGTCAACAGACAACCCTGGAGATGGAATCACCACGGTCGGTTGTAAGCTGAAGGAGTTCACCGCGGTCATCATATCTCGCGATGGCTCATTCTGCCATGCGTTTTCTTGTGCATGCGGGCCGCGCACAAACATAACATGTTCCCGTTTTCCACGGCAGAAGATGAAGGCGATGAAATGGCAAACCACAATCCGATCAATCTCGAGAATGGCTTCACGCTCCTTGAGGAAGGTGATGGAGATGCAGGGTGGGACTCGATTCTGAGCAAAACCGAAAGCGAGCTTCATCGCCGTGGTTTCAAGAGCAAAACAACAGCGGCCACGTGTGTGAGCGTCTCGTGTTGAACTTTGTTCATCGCTTACGCAGGAGTAGAAGATCTCGTGCTGGCGTCGAGAATGTGGGTGTCCCGGAGGGCGACAGTGCTTGTTGCATTACACATTCTTTACATACTGATACATCGTATGGACAGGGGTGGGGGGGATGTAGGTTCTGTAGCATATTGTTTCGCCAGCATCACGAGCATCACGTCAATGCCCTATTTTCTCACCGTGCAGGCAAGGCACGAAGGCGAGCTCCCTCCGATTGGCCCACATGGACGGCAACCTGAAGAAGCCGGCGAACCCGTCATGAACGAGTACGACAAGGCTGGAGCCAGCACCTACGCTCGACGTGAAAGTGCCGCAGTGGCTTCTCTCTCTCTCGGCCCGTGGTGTTCTTATATCAAGTAGAAGTAGTTGACGATAGCTTCGGAAACACAGACCAGTATTTCTGGTTACGGAGAGTCCATTACCGCGTTCGTTCGATTTGTGTCGTGCTGTTTCTCGCTGCCGATCAGGAAATCGTGGTCAAAATTTAAGCAACCGCCGTCCTTGTTGAGGGAAGAGAGTCATTTCGGTTCCTCGAAGACCTGGCTGTAGAACCAACCAACAATGATGGAAACGGAAACGTACGTATGCTGTCAGGTATCCGCTGAGGTCTTCGACGGGACAAATTACCATGATGAAACCCTCTTTGGTACCACGTGTTTTGCAATATTGTTTTTGTTTGGCTGCCCACGTCGAAAAAGATGCGGTGGTTAACGTACAGTGTACAAATGACGCAAGGTCAACCACCTCGTAGTCATAGGCCTGGGCGGATTTCAGCGGTGTACCTCTTTGCAGGTCATATGGCGGGTGTCGCAGTGTAGGCAGATCCTCGTAGCGCTTGTCACGAAGTTGGGTCGCGCTTCCGAATTCAAGGCAACAACCATCCACCCACGCTGGCGTCCAAATAGTGCAGAAACGTGGACTAGATGAAGTCGAGCTAGATTTGTTTGATGGGGACGGCAGTGAGTCGTATAGTGGGGGGCTTCACCGCTGACTGTCAGGGATGAGACGATTTCGGGGATCCGGTTGATAATGAATCTGAGCCTGACCCTGTACTGTCTGTTCAAACGGGGAGGATGCATGCCAACCTGATGGAGGCCTGCTCGAGGTGTGTACGCATGGACACCGAAAACACGTCCAGGGACTCTCGCCCACATGAGGCGAACATGTTTGTTGACTGGAAATGGAATAGAAAGCATTTGCTGACAGACGCATAAGTGTTGATGGTGCCAAGCCTCGGGCGGAACTTCAAGACCCGCCACTTCATCCTTAAAGAAGTAAAAAGCAGAATACGGTGAGGGATTTGAGCCGGGTAGGGCGGGCAAGAGGGTGAAGACAGAAAGTCCTCGGCAGATCAAAATGGGTAATATGTCTATATAATCTAGAAGGCTTCAGTTGCAGGCAGCACGTTTGTTGTTGCAATCAGGAGTGCCGAGGGCATGGCGGTGCGTGTATACAGCTTGGTTGTACTGTAGTGTTGCAAATATCATGTTGTCCGTTGTATCGCGTAGGTTTTTGTTGTGCAACAAACCCCTTTTGTTTTCTGATGATGAAAGCTTGTAGCTTTCTTGTGATGGCGAATATTTGGTGTATTTGGCTTGGAGAGCTACACGATACAACCTGGTTTCAAGTAGCTGGTTTTGTTTTCTCCGTGTAACTTTTCTTGTTCGTTGTTTCCTGTGTGCTCCGGCGTAGGTAGGGCACAATATTTGGCAGGACAGAAAGCCAGGCACCGGCAAGATACAATCTCCATTCGGATACAATTTAGTGCGTCCCATTGCGATGACAAGCACAACTACTCGCGAGGTTTCTTTGAACGATGCACGAGGGGGGCGGTGCAGCACGGTTCCTGATTTTGTTTCGTTGATGTAAATCAGCGATGTAAGGATACTTCACGCAGCGCTTCGCTGCTTGCTTGTTTCGAATGATCTTGTTGCTTCGAGTGTTCTTGGTTCGAGGATTTCCCCTCGCACTCTGTCTGAGTGGAGACTAAGAAGACGGGAAATGTCACGATCAGTCACGTACAGGAAAATGCGTGGAAGATAGATATCGAACAGCAGATAGCTACAAGGTGGTGAGATATGCATTCATGCCGAGTGTACAGTGTGTAGTTGAAACCGCGCGGAAAGATACAGCATTTTTCCTTTGTTTTGACATCTGTTATGGCGCTCCCTCTCCGGCTTTACTCCCAGCAGTTCCACGTCATCATGCCCTTGGCTACCATACTCCACCACCACCACAACACACTTGCTAGTCTTCGGAGAGGAAGGCAAAGCTGTGCTGTGCTGCGCCGTAAGGCAGAACATGTGTGGGTCGAGACCAAGAAGAGACCAAAGATACCGGAGATACAGCATGATTTTCTTGTTCCCAGACGGTCGATTGGCGCTTCCTCTTCGGCTTTGGTAGTAGAGACAGTCTTCCCTATAGAGCTGGCCCTCCCTTTCCGCGTCTGTCGGCCTCAGTACGTGCTTGTGGCTGTTGCTGTGGTGCCGCCAAAACTGGCCAATCGTTTGGTGGTTTTATGGCACAAATTATGGCGTTTTGGTACAAGGGATGGGGTAGTTTTGTCCCTCAATGTCAAAAACTTGACATGGACGTTCATGCCATAATCATCTCCCACGTTCACCACGTTCACCAGGAGCGCTACCCATCAGCTGCTTTCCATGGGGTCATTGTCGCTGAGCCATTGGTCGCTGAGCCTATCAGGGAACGGGGACCATGGGTATGGGTGAATTTTTGAAATGCGACATTGCTGATTGGGCGAAACTACCCCATTTCAACGAATCTGATTGGGAGTTTGAATGCGGGCTTTAATTTCGGCACTTGGAATTAGAACGAGGAGTTGTAAAGACGGCGCGCGCCTTGCGTTGTGCTGAGCACCAACGCGAGCGCAATCTAGCTCGCTGAGCGAGAGCCCCGAAGATGAATCTGTTCGGAAGCTGCATCGTTCCCAGCAAAAGCTTATAGCTGTGACTAGGTGTCAAAAGCCGTTTCTTCCCACGTCCAACCTCAAATTCTTACGTAGTAGCAGCATTAGTCTATCCACGTAGTCCCTCCTGAGGAACTGAAGATCTGTCAAGGTCTCCTTGAGGTACATCGGCAACCTTGTCGTATTTCTTTCTCTTTTGTCGTCATCGTTCCACTGAAACCTTCATCAACAGGTTGTCTGTTGCTTACGTCCTGTGTACCGCGGTTTTGTGTACATTGCGCGTAAGTAATTCGTACTTGTACAGCAGCAGTAGTTGGGTGTAGACCAGTCTATAGACTAGTCTAGACTAATCGGTAACGCTCATTGAAGCGGACACAGGGTGTAGCTAGGCTTGTATGGCAAAGCAAGAAATACGTTGTACATCGTTGAGCCAGGTCAATGCAGTTGCTGACGTTTCCGCTCCTGTATGTTCTTCGTGCCCCTTTCCTCGCCTTTCTTAATCCGTGCGCCAGGTAGTCTCGCTCAGCATTGAGTGAGTATCCAAACGGCACCGCGGCGCTGCCGGGAAGCCGGCCGCAACCCGAGCCTCACTTGACAAGCCGGTTCATCTTTTGCTGGGTCATACGTATAGTCTAGAGCAGCAAGCAACAGGTGGTTTCATGCAGTCCAGATTGCGATACAACTCTTCAGATGAACGTGATACTGTTGAGGGATACACGAGCATGTGTGTGTGCTGCTGGGAACACCATATGTGTTCTCGCCTGGATGACAGGTGTTTATGTAACCGAGCGCTGGACATCAAGATGGGGTCGAAGGCTGATTTGGCGGTTCCTCTCCGTTTAACAGCTACCCAACCTATGGGGTGCCAGGGCAGTGTTTGAAGACGTGGTGTTAGTCCTGTTCGTACGTAGGAGTAGACAAGCCAAAAGTAGCCGTTACGTAGGACGCAGATAGGATATACCTGGAGAGGTGTGTGGCGAGACAGTTTGGTGAGAGCGCGGAGCCCCCGTTTTTCTCGTGAGTTCGGGGCACTCTCTCCTTCCGCTCTCTCTTCCTTCGTGCCTTCTCTATCGCGTGCTAATTGAACCAGTTAAACAGCAGCCCCAAGTCCGCACGGCAAATACTGTTGCCAGAGCTCACGAACACGCTAGCGCTTCTTCCCGGGAAGATCNGTCCTGTTCGTACGTAGGAGTAGACAAGCCAAAAGTAGCCGTTACGTAGGACGCAGATAGGATATACCTGGAGAGGTGTGTGGCGAGACAGTTTGGTGAGAGCGCGGAGCCCCCGTTTTTCTCGTGAGTTCGGGGCACTCTCTCCTTCCGCTCTCTCTTCCTTCGTGCCTTCTCTATCGCGTGCTAATTGAACCNAGGTGATGAGCCAGCTTCCATCGTTGATGAGGGGAGCGTTGGATGTTGGAGGTGTTCAGCAGGAGGAGGAGTCCGGCGGTGACGTAGGGGCATCGACAGGGGCCAGCGGTGACGCTGCCGCCCCGAACAGCAGCCAGGGGTCCGCCGCGACGGGTACAGTGGGTGTAGGCGGCTACGGCAGAGGGTATGGCTCCCAAGGTGAGGCAGCCGCAACCGGCGGTGGCGTTGGTGGTGTTTTCGTCAGCGGTGATGTCGTTGGTGAGGGTCTCTTCACGGGAGGCGGCGGAATTTCGAAACTCGCCGTGTCTCACGTAAACCCACCACAGCTCAAGAAAGGGGCCGAGCAGCACCCGGGGTGGAGACAGGATATGATCGTGCAGGCAGGCATTCTCGACATAGGCGATGTGTTCTCCGGCGGCGGGGTGCTGCCGGACATCAACAAGCCACAGACCNGTCTGGCGTGGAATTTCCTATCTGCCGCGTTGACTACTGAGACGGACAAATCCATCCTCCGTCGTTGCACGAACCCAAGGGAAGCCCTGCGGCAACTAGATGCGGCATACCTGCCGGAGACANGTGCAGGCAGGCATTCTCGACATAGGCGATGTGTTCTCCGGCGGCGGGGTGCTGCCGGACATCAAACAGCCACAGACCGCCCTTCTCGAGCAGGGGTTTTCGTACGCAGCAATCCGCAAGACGT